GATGGAAATGGATGCTAATTTGATGGAAAAATTGAGAATCGTTGAATTGAGTATGCACTGAATTATTTAACTACCCCAAGATGTGATTAGATTTCTGGCTCGGTGAGAGTCACAAACCTGTGTATACAGAGCAAGGAAAATGTGTGTTGTAAGTAAAGCTGTGGGAAATAAATAGCTTTTTTTTTTTTACTTGTTGAGCTATTTGTAATATTATTTCAGTTTGTCCTGAAAAAGCATTAACCCAATTTGTCAGGACACACAGGGTTTGTCTCAGTCCAATTGGATGCTTATTTGAATTCTAATGCTTTGATCCTATTTCAGCTCCTTTTCCTGTAAATTATACTAATTTTTCAATACAGTCACAATTTCAAACATCAGAATGAAGTTTATTGATGTATTTTCTTTACGTTATTACACTACAGCTGCTTAAATTTGCTAATAGCTTAGGGGTGTTCCTGGACTCCTTGTTTGCCCTGCATCTTGCTAATGAATGAACCTCTGGTGCACACACTGTCTACCTGCAGGTTGTTTTGTTTATGCATACACAGGTGTGTTCTGGTAGCTTGGTTACTTCAGAGTGAGACAGTTTGCCAAACTCACTGATTAAATGACTCTAACTATATCTCTGTGCATTGTGGCCACTGCAACATGTTGTCACAGTGTGTAATGCCTCAAATGAAATTGCAGTTAGTGTTTTTGCCTAAGTGAAGCAAAGCTATGGATGGCAGAGCTAGACTTTTTCTTAAGGGCTGCAGCTGGCCAGTTGCTGCTTCCAAAACTGAGTTTAGGATTAGCAAAGGTGAGCAGAACAGTGGTTTGATGGATTTATTACTACAGGAACATAGTACTCCCAAGTTTTTTCACACAGATGCATGTGTTACAAAGGGATCCAGTAGTTAAACTATTTTAAACAGCTTGTTAATTATACTTCATGGCTGACCCTGCTCCTTCTAAATATAAAAATTGTGTTTAAAAAGTTTAACTGTGGCATTGCAGAACAATTCAGCTAAGCCATGTTTGCTCTGTAACTCTGATTTTGTGTCAGCTTATTTCACAGCAGCTGTTTGCAGTCACATAGAATTTATAGAGTTATTTTTCTGGTTGGGTTGGAAGGAAACAAAGCAAATGAAGATACACTTCAAAACATGAGCAAGCTTTAACGTGTCAGATTCGTTTTACTTTATCTTGTGCAGCTGTCCTTTAGTTTGGGGTTTGGTTAGCAGCAAAGAGTTTATCAAGCATCTCTAACCTCCTCTCAAAGGTATTGATTTCACACCGAATGCCACTTGTCTCTGGCTCTTCAAAAGCACATGCTAAATTTAAGTTCTGTTTATTTATATATATTACACAGGGCCAGGGGAAAGCTGCTTGTAAATAGACTGTCTCAGTATTAGCTTTGGCACTGTAAATCCTTTGTTTTGTGGAATAATGTTCTACTTTTGCTGCAGTAATGCTGCGAAGGTTTCTGAAATCTCACCTGAGGAAGTGTGTGGAGCTTTTCCCTGAGAAGCTGCAGAAATTTTGAGAATGTGCTGTTTGTAATATATGAGCAAGCAGCACTTTTCAGTGGTTAAGAGCAGCCCAGATGTCTCTCCTGCCTGCACAAAAGAGACTTTCTGTCACTCTCAGGAGACTTCAGGAGTAATTGTCCATTTCAACTTGATTAACAGCCTTTTTTCTGTCCCAGTCTTTCTGTTTTAGCATGGGATAAATTCTGTGGGTTTGGCTATAAGCTGTTGGCAAGAGTTTTGTGGCACTTGTGTGGTAACTACTGAATTAAAAATCTAGTGCAAAGTTACTTGCAATTCCAAAGAACCTCGAGTCAGTGAGCCACTGACTCCCACTGGGGAGTTTGGTGTGTTGCCTCATCTGAATCAACTTCAAGATGTCATGTTAGTGACAAAAATGAGAAGCCTTTTCTACCCTGAAACTAGGAACAACTCTAAAGCCATATATTGCAGCTGGAATTGTTCTGCTTCTCCTCCTTAGACGACTTAACTTTCACTGGGAGAAGAACTTCTGCTGTTTCTGTACTGTTGAGTTTGGCCTGAAGGAAGTCTGGGTGGACACAGAGTGTTTCTCACTCCCTTTTTTAATGTGAGGCAGAAGAGAAAAGAGCTGCCAGGCAGCAGCAAAAGTGTTTCTGAACTCTCCCATGTTGCCATGAGCAGAGCAGCTCTCTGTGCTCCAAAGTCTGTTTGACCAGTCATTCTTCAGGGCATCCTGTGTGCTAAGTGTTCTTGTCAAACTGCAGAGATATCTTGTTTGCATCATTTTCATTCTCACCTGTCTTTTCTTTTTTTTTTTCCCTTTCTTCCCATGTTTTCAGTCAGTAGTGAACCTGATCAGTGACCTACAGGAACAGATGTGTAGACTACAGCTGGAAATTAATAGTAGAATCCAAGAAAGAAAGTCTCAAGATAGGAAACCAGACTTGACATCTAATGGTCCTCAATGTGCCCCAAGATCAGTAGAGGCTCTGAGCCAGAAGAATTGTTCTCAGTGTGATGTACGAGGAGTAGGCCCTGGCAGAAGCCTTTGTATTGCCTCTTCTATTGCAGAAACTAAATTCCACTAACCAGAGCTATGCTGTGAATTTTTTGCCATTAATCTTTGTGGCTTTCTTAGCAAAGAATGGGAGTGTCATAAAAATTGGCAGGAAAAAAAAATCCCAGGCCTGATTATGGGACAAATTTGGTCACCATTGTTGTCTGTCTACTAAAGCACAGACATCTGTAAGACTCAATCACCTCTTTTAGGGTTTTTACAGTTTCCAGTTTAGCTGTAAGTCTGAAGTGCTGGTGTGGTGTGGGTTGTTTGGGGTTTTTTGGGTTGAGATTTGTCTGATATGCAGCATGCTGGCATGGTTTGATATTTGCTGCTTTTCCTCATGCTGATGTCCCCTGAACACAGGTTGTTCATTCCCAACTCTCTTAAAAGCTTAACACAGGTATAAAACAGTTCCAGCTAAGATTAGCTGATGTGTATCCTTTCTTTTTTCTAATGATAATGTCAAAGTGAACAAAAAGTGCTGCAATAAAAATAATCTGCTTGTACTTTTAAAATAGCAAATCCAACACTTTTTTTTTGTTTATTCCCTGACATTAGCAGCTACCAGAAAATCACTGCTGAACTTACATTACAGGTCCTGGTTGTATTTGATGAAAAATATGTCACATGTCAAAACAAAAGCTACTTTGCCTAAACTGCTTAAATTCAGTGAAGGTGGAATGATACTGGTATGCCCAGAAAATACCATTTTAATATTTGATTTAAGTCAGATTGCTTTAGTTGTCACATCTCTTTGGTTACAACTTGGATCCCCAGAAATCATAAGTAATCTGCTTATATTGTGAAGGATTTTTTCAGCAATTTCTCTCATATATTGATATTACAAAAATCACTGATTTGGGTGTGATGCCTGGTTTTGTTTCTTAGTTTGCCTCTGTCCAAAACTGGTTAATGGACTATTAGACCACAGTACAAGCTGCAGATTGGAGAAATAATTTGAGAGTCAACTGGGAGTCATTCAAAATAAATATTAATGTAATCCAAGATATTAATGTGACATTTAATGTATATTCTACACAGGATTCCAAAACTGGGTTATGCCTCCAATGTTTTCCTTTCCTCAGTTTGTTGTAAGACATTTTGTCTTGTCAGAGCTCCATCCATGATTTAATAATTGTCCTTCAGAAAGAGCAATAAGGTATAGAGGAAAGGGAGAAGGGATATTTAAAGGGCAACTTTTTAGACTAGGTCACAGTTTTTAGTGTGGCTGTTCAGTGTTCATTAACGTGTGGTTCATGCATGATCTTTAATTCAGGACTATGAAAAATTGATGTCTGCCAGAGAAATCTTACTTTTCTCTGTTCTTCCTTCGCAGGGTTTGCTGCAGGAACTTAGGCACCTCAAAATTAAAGTGGAAGAACTGGAAAATGAAAGAAATCAATATGAGTGGAAATTAAAAGCAACTAAAGTAAGCAGAATACTTAGCATTTTCTAATTATTTATTTGGGCTGGAAAGGGATATGCTCCACTTCTCCTCAATATTTACTTCCATTTACGTTGTGTCAGGGTCTCCTGTGAAGTCAAGTTTTCTCTGACCATCTTTGGAATAAGAACTTTGGTTTGAAGGTTTTGTAGCACTTGTTTTGTGCCTTTTGCTCCCTCTGTGCAGCTTCCAGTCTTCTACCTTTTTGAAATTCTCATTTTAAGGAACCAAGAAACTCACTTTGAATTACAAAGATCTTTTCTGAGTAAAGGCCTCTTTTTGAAGGTTTTCTGTCTTTTATTTGTGTAGTGTTGACAAGCCTCTCTGGGATATACTTCCCAGCCCGAGGAGAAGAGACATGCAAAGTTGATTGGGTGTTTGCTTACTATGGAATTTATTTTCATAGACATGAAGCCCAAAATACACCATTAGATCATCTGCTTTGACTTGGTGTGTATCAAAGTGCATAGCTGCCTTACCCTTGTGTTGACCTTAAATCCTGGAAAGCTGTTGGATGGCAATCTGGAGAAGCTTTGACACTTGAAACATTTCATCATTTTCCCCAGGAGATAATTTTCCTAGCAGAACATTCTCACTGATATTTCTAGTTTGGATTTTTAGCCCTTTCCACTAGATTAAGAAGCACCTTACTATTTTTCCTTGCTGAGGTACATTTTGGTGCTGTAATCACATCTCCTTTCATTCATCTAATACTATAATCCCTGTTGATACGAATGACTAAGTTGTGAGTTGTGGTTGGATCTTGGAGAAACATTTCAAATTATTAAACTGAGTTTTCTTTTTAATACTTGATAACTTGGTCCAGACATGACAAACAGCTTTTATTTGTATTAGCATTTCTTTCTTTTGAGAATTCTTGGATGAGTAATGAAATGTTGCTATCGTGTCTTTTTTTCCTATTAAGATAATAGTTCTTCTATCTGTGAAAATGTTTTCTCTAATGTGGTGGATATGAAGAGTCTTTGGGAAAATATTTTCTCAAGCAGTGTGTGGCCAGCTGCCAAGACAGATACAGATTATGGGAAGTGTAGGAGCAGAGTGAAAACAAGAAAGAAGAATCAGAAAACAAATTGAGTGAGAGAAAGATAGAAAGGGAGAAAAGTACAAGGAAAGAGAAAGGGAGTGGAAAAATAATCATAGAGATGACAGGAATGAGACATTAAGAGAAAAGAGGGCATTAAAAAGAGCTCTGAGATCAAATAGACCAGGGGAGGCAAACCCAAGTCTGGTATTAAGAGGTCTGCAAGCTTTTGTCTTCCTGTTGTTCCAGCTTCTCAGAGGAGAAATTGGAATATCTCCATGGCTGGATATAAAAAGCATATTAGTCACTGCAAAGTGTAGGAGCCCTTCAGAGAGGCAACAAGGCAGATTCTTCTATTCCACGTGGAATTTTAGGCAGAATGCTGGTGGTGTCCTGCAATCCAGCTGCTTGCTTCCCAGTGAAAATAAGTTTGTGTGTTAATTAGTCCATGTTTTTCCCTATTTGGATAATGTTGTTGGGTGGTTGTCATTTCTTTCTTATTTTATTTTAGTAAACTGGTCACACTAGTGATTTTTTTGTCATTATTCTTCCTTTTTCCTTTCCTTTTTTTTTCTCCTAGTTTTGTTATTCTGCTGAGAAGGCTCAGCATTGATAGATTCCCATTTATTCTAATAAGTAGTAACTAGGATTAAAAAAACCCAAACAGCATCTGTTTAAAAATGTTTTCTTTTTCAGTGGTCATCATACAAAGCTCAGGAGTTGCCCTATAAGTCATTATTATTATATGACCAGTGTTATAGCATTAGGAACTTTCCAGAGTTTCTTTACTTGTGTGAATCCTTGAAAATGTTTTCTTTGTCTAAGTGTCTTCTGTGAGAGCTAATTGCATAGGGAAAAGAAGCTTCTGTAGTGGGAATAGGATAATACACCATAAATATGAAGAGTTGTTACAGTGTTTATGAAGTGTCCTGAGTTGGCAACTGACATCAATCAAAGTCTTGTAGTTGCTAGGGAAGGATGACAGACAACTGGTGAAGAAATTGTTCAGAATTTGTTGCACTCTCTTTCAGGCTGAGATAGCCCAGCTTCAGGAGCAGTTAGCTCTCAAAGATGCAGAGATAGAACGTTTGCAAAGTCAGCTCTCCAGGACCTCATCGTACAGTGAAGTGGCAGAAAGAGGTAAGAGGAGAAGAGACAAAATTGAAAATCCAAAGCACTACTTGAACTTCACTTCGCTCGCAGCTTGGCTCAGTATTTCAAAGGGACTTGCAAGAATGGACTTAGAGAAATGATTGTGGGAAGAAAAATAGTGTAAATTCACTTTGTGTTCTGGTAGAGGCCATCAATGTGTGAAATTCTATCCCAATCTAGAGGCAGCACAGGTTGAAATAAGTATCCTCAAGACACTAAAACTTTATCTGTGAGGGTTTTATTTATGTTTTGAAAGAGTCACTGTAGTTCAGTGGGAATGAATTTTTTGTATATATCTTGAAAATGTCTTTGAAAAAAACCTTTAGTATCTATTTTCTAAGGATTAGAAAAGGTCACAGTAGTAGCTAAGCATAATTTTTGAACATTCAAACAGCCTGACCACAGTCATTGCTTCACATCTATCCTTTCTTTGGGATTATGTCTCATTTAGGCTCCCTGTCCCATGAAAGCTTGGACCAGATGGATTTTCAGTGTCCCTTCCAGCCTGGGCTGTCCTAGGGTTCTATGATACTGCAGGTTTCTGTTATAAATCTGCACTGTTCACACAGCTCAATGGCAATGAATCAGTTCATTTAGCCTTTGGTCCCAACCAGTCGTGTCACAGTTCTCTGAAATATTCACTCCCTGGGGCTTCTGCCAGTTGCTGGGCCATGAGCAGTATGGTATTAGTGGCCTTTTTCTTCTGCAGTACTGACACTTGCCCATGCAGGAATGTTTGTGTGTAGCTTACCACAGTGCATCAGCTCAGCTGCATTAACGTCGTTTGTGGGTGTTAACTAACACTTCCAAAGGTGCCCTTGTTGGGGAAGGAATTTGCCAGGTGCTTTACTACCCCTTTCTCAGGGCTAAGAACCTCTTGTGGTTTATTCCAAGAAAGTGACTTAACATATACTTGTGCTGATCTCATTCAATTGCAGAGCTTGTGCATGTAGAGAACTGCATGTGTGACTACAAAAATTAGCTTGTCTAACAGTGGTGTTTTGTAGAGGAACTCTTCTATAATAGAACTGTGTATTTTCTGTGAGGTTCCCTAATAATTGATGAGCTTTCACAGGAAAGATAGTGGTATGACAATAAATCAGGAGCTCAGCAGTATTCAGCTTCTGGCAGTGTGTCTGTTCTGTTCACACTGAAAATGGGTGAAACTGTCCTTGATTTCAGTGGCAGAAGAATCAAAACCCTGCACAGATTCTTTGGGCTACATTGAAGGAAAGCACTTAGACTGTATTTGAATGGAAACAGTAATAATCCTTCTGCAAAAAAAAATTACTGATTTATCAGGTTTTTAGGTGGTCTCCTCAAATAAAGTTGAAAAATAATGTCAATGTACTTGTATGCTAGAATGCATATCCTAATTGCAAAATTGATCTAATATGTGCTTTTTCTACATACTTTATTTGACTCTCACCACTTACCATCGTAGAGGAAGTTTATAGGAGAAGGCTAAAAGAAAAACGTAAGCCTTGCAATTCACTTTTGGCTTTATCTCCCTGTTCCTTTCACACCAATTATCACTCAGATGCATTCTGCAGCAGCAGTTCAATGTTTGTTTAGATTTGGCTGTCTAATTCTCATATACATGAGACACTGCTTTCATTGCTCGCAGCAAGCAAACAGCTACTCGCCCTGGTCAGTAGGATTTCACTTCAGAAATCAAAGTCAGAAGTTCACAAATCAGATTTGGACTTCAAAGGGACATTGTCAAGGTTAACAGAGCCAAAGCTTAACCTTCACCTCGTTTTATCTGCACATATGTAAAGCCCATAGTATATCTGGCAAGGTGGCTTTAATTGAAAGCCTTCTGCCTTGGAGGAGAGTTTGGGCTCTCTTTAAATCAGTGCAGTAAATGTAGAACAGCCTGTCTGAATGAATGGTTCCAAACTTGATGTTGTTAATAAATACTGGAAGGAAATTTTGCCTTAGACTGCTTAAAACTACCTTGACACTAGTCCTTTTGGAAGTTTAATGTTTTTAAAGAGAAATTAGTAGGACTGTGATTTTCCTCCTTTTTTTTTTTTTTTTTTTTAAAGCCTTCCAATTGCTTGCCCACTGCTGCTGGCTTTGGTTGTTGATTTGGCTGTGTCTGTGCATGTTCTGTGTTCCTAATTGTTCTCTTCTGTGAGAGAAATGTCTGCAAGGTTCCTTTACGTGTTTTAAAACCTAATCATTGCAAGGTGTGCATTTTCCAGAATTGCTGCAATAAAAACTAATTACAGCTCTTGCAAATAGTTTAGCTATGACATTGTATGTTCGACTGTTTTAAAAGGTTTATTTGACAGATGCTCTTTAGCATTATTGATTTGGTTTCCTCTCTCTCACTTCATGCCTACCATATCTGTTTTTCATAGTCTTTTGTAAGTGGGTCTGGTTTAATGTCCAAGCATGAATCCCTGGAGTGGTAGTTAAGACATAAACTATTTCAGGAGCTGTTTCCATCACTTACACTTGGTTTACTATAGGTTGGTACTGGAGGACTTGAGAAGAGGTGAACGATTTGGTTCAGAAAAGTTATGGTGATATGATTAACACCCTCATACATTCTCAGAGTGTGTGTTCTAATTGATTTGGCTATAACATTCCTGAATTACCTCTCTCATGGAACAGCAAATTGTGTGTGAGGCAATTCTGTATCAGCTCATGATGTAGATTTTAACCTAGTTATTCATACTGAAACCATTCCAGTCAGATGGAATTCACTTTCAGCCCTACTTAAAATTATTTCCTTCAGTATATAACAGCAAACACACTCTCATCTCTTGCAAAATAACCTTCAATGTTCCTTTTTTCCATTACTTGACTTTTATAGTTTAAAATATTATTATGTAGCCTTTTATAATCAAACCCAGGATGTTTTTGTTGTGCAATGCTTTTAATAGCTTCTGAGAAACTCTTAAGTTAAATGTAGTTTATTAGTGCATTTGGCCATGCCACTGACATGGTTTTGGTGACTTCTAAAAACATAGGGAGAGTATCAGAAAACATAGAGTTGCACTAAATATAGCAAGTGGGTTTTTTCATAAAACATTTTGCAAATGCTTTTAGATCAAGAAGTTCAACGATTGAAGATAGGAATGGAGACATTGTTGGCTGCAAATGAGGAAAAGGTGAGAAAATAATCCTCTGCATAGTAGTAAGAATGGAGTTATGGTTTTGGATCTCTGAAATATTCTGAACAACACACTTTCTGTAAGAGGGGCATTGCCCTGGGAGGTTGTGACAGCAGGCTGCTGTCAGAGAGAAGGTCTGGCTCACCTTGCTAACCTGACTGCAGAATTTGGGAGGCTCCTTAGATTCCAGAGGGGAGAACAAAGCTCATAGTGTGGTAAAGATCTGGTTTCTGTGCAGTTACTCCTACACCTCAGTGGATTTCTGATGCAGCATATGTGTGCTGGAGCAGATTTGAACTGAAATACCTGTGACACTGACCCAGCTCTGGCAGTGAAGGAGCTCAGTGTATCCCCTAAATACTTGCTGACTTCCCTGGAAGATTCTTTTTTCTTTTTTTCAGTGACCACTTCTCTGCCTCTGTGGCTTTCCTGAGCTCTGCTTGTGAGAACTAGTTCTTTACACTTGCTTGGGTTCTGTAGTTCAGGGTTCTGTAGTCTGATTCAGGGCTCTGTAGTCACAGCACTGGGCTGGAGGAAGAGTGGAGTCAGAGAATTCATGAGATGTTCATGAGATGTCAATGAGATGTTCATTTCTTTGGCTCTGGGCAGGTTTGACAGCCTAACTTCAGACAGGTGTGTTCAATGTCAGAATGGAGACTATATCCTACAGACAGGACTAAAGAACATGACTAGATTGTTAAACTAGACAAAACATAAACATGATTCACTTTATGATGGCAGGTTTAGTAAAACCAAACACTGCCTACTTCAGGCAATTGAGCCTCATCTCCAGGATATTGCCATCACACTTGGAAGTGAAAGATTTCCAAATTATGCTTCTCTAAATAACTAATTTACTAGCAATGTCAAACACTTCTGATTTCCTTGTATCTGTAATTTCATACTGTCCAGCAAATATGATGTACAATGGTAAATAAAAGCCAAGAAACATTCCCCAAAAGGCATGTGAGTCTTGGTTCTGCTTCCATGGATATCCCAGCAATGTAGTAGTGTGTTTTGTAGGTTAAAAATGTAGGATTTTGAATATGATCTCGTTGAATGTTCTTCCCAGGATCGTCGAATAGAGGAGCTCACACTGCTGCTGAGCCAGTACAGGAGGGTCAAAGAGATCATGATTGCAGCTCATGGTAAAATGTCTTGTGAATAATTCCCTGATATCAGGTCTTTTAAAAACTGCAGGCACTGCCACTGCTATTCACAGTCCTTTCAAACATGTGTCTATAGTAACATGTCTTGTTAGTCATATCTTTGTTACATGTTGGAGAGTGAGAGAGCTGTGACATAAGTACAGATTATTTCAGACACAGAGAGAACCACAGTGTGTCTTGATCAGGCTTATGTGTTACTGTCTGAAGTTTGTGCAGCTGCTTTTTTGTTTCCTGTGCTGTAGGCAATACATAAAAATTGTTGTTTTGGTGCACACAATATTATATATTTAAGTTCAAAATCTGGGGGAAAAAAGTCTTTGCTCCATTTCTCAGTTCTCCTGCAAGAAGTGGAGTGGGGTTTAGGACAATCTCATTTGAAAATGCCACAATATTTTTCAGTACTGAGTTTAGTCTGGGAAACTTGACCTTCTGAAAGGACAGTTTTGTTCCACATGTATCATCACATTAACAAACACAGTATTTTCAAGCCTTGTATGGCAGAATGGAAACTTGTGTTTGACACACAAGAATAGGGAACAACAGTCAAGTAAATCTCTCTCTGAACGTTTGGATGTTCATTTAAAGAAAGTCTGTCACTTGAAAGGAAATCCAAAGGCATATTGAGGTTAACTCCCAAGATAGCCACATCACTGCTACCCTGAGTAGGTGCTCTCAACAGTAACCCCCACAGTTCCACGTCGTGGTTGCACAGACCCAAGTGCACCATCCCCCAGGGGAACAGAGTTTTTGGGGAGCACCTGTGAGCAGGAAAGAGCCATGATGCTCTGGGTTATGGAGCTGGTACTACAGGGAGTATGATGGTGTTCTAAATGGGAATTTAGAAACCAAAGTATTTAGACTGTCTGATATGGTCCTAAATGTGACAAGTTTTCCCTGTTTCTCTCCCCTTCTGTTTCTATTCTTTAATGCTCACAGGCTCTTCTGTCTCTGGTGGCACTGAAGAGGAACTTGAGGCAACTTTAAGGAAGTGGAATCTTTTGAATAATCCTCCAGGAGAATTACTGAAAACAGAGGTACTTAGTAAAGATGTTTTAGAAGCAAGTTCTCCTGTATATATGATTTGTTGGCATTGGTTTTTCTGTAGCAATGTAGATGAGGGTTTGCCCCTGGGTGAATTTTTGTACTTCTTGGTACAGTAGATTCAGCATCAGGCTTGAAACTCTTGTATTTTATGTAGGTTTCTTCAGGAGAATTGCCACCAGCTGTGCTCCATCCAGTGCCACACAAAGCTATGGAAATCAGGCAAGACCTTTCTTTCTTGTGTTTCATGTGGGTTGTCCTAAATCTGTATTATTTCATCTGTTTAACTGTTGCCATCTTCTCTTGGCTTTGCTTTACTTCCAAATGCTTGAGAAAGCAGTGTACACCATGGAGGTTTGCAATACTTAGTTGTATAAGGTTTGAATTATAGGAACAAATCAGTACTTTTTGAGATCCGAAGATATATTTATTAATGCAGTACTGAAAACAGTGTATTTTATTTCCATTTAAAGTGGAAGTGTTCCAGTATCTTCAAATAATTTGACCTCTCCACAAGAAGAATCTTTGGAAGTCATAAATAGGTAAGAATGAGTAACTGTAATTGAAATGTAAAACATTTTCCCTTTATAAATCCCTTAGTGCTGCACACTGCTCACAGAGTTATTGCTGACTCCTTTTGCTTGTCAAGAGCTTCTAACAAGTTATCTATAGATATGAGGTTTACCATGTTGGGCCTTGTCTTTGATCAGAGAATGTCTTGTTGCTATTTCTGTTCATCTAGTGCAATTTCTGATGCTGTGATTTTTAGAAGAAAAAATAAAACAAAGGGAATTAACCTGTTAATTCTGAATTATCTGGTATATGCAGACATTATGTGCATATGAGACACTTGTGGCATGTGCAAACATACTATGTTGTATCAACTGTTGCTTTTTTGCCTGTGGCTTTTTTTTCAGGGCTCCACAGAAGAAAAAGTCAAGTAGTTTAGAAGATTTGCAGAGTGAATCCCTGGAAAAGGTTGGTTTATTTCTCATCACAATTTTTGGTGTTTAATATCATGGCTAAAAGACTCAAGATCAAGGTTAAATATTGTTTTAGCTTCACCTATAGTAACATTGTATGTGGGGAAAAAAGCCCTAATGATAAAAGAGCTCAGGTTCTTTTTTCACCCCATTGCCAACCTGAGAATAAACAAACTGGTTGCCACACACATATATCCACAGCCTCAAAACCAGTTTTTCACCTGAGAGAGCCAAAAATATTTCAGAGACATATGAGAAATAATGAGGAGTCATTGTGTTGAACTGCAGGATTATTTTGTTTGTAGCTGTTTTAAAAGTAATTTTTACTTCCAAATCGCTAAAAATGTTAAGGCAGCAAATCCTGAAAGTAGTTAAATGTTGGGACTGGATATTATTTCCACACAGAATTCCTTTTTTGAGTGTTTGCATGTAACTAGGAGTATTGCTCCCTTAGAATTCTGGTATAAATGACATTCCTGAAGGTGGTAGTGATGCTGCCTTAGTTGAAACAGCAGGAGCACTGTGATTCCTGCAAAGGCTTTAATTCCATTCCAGAAGACTTTTGATTTTCAAAGTGTTGTTACATTATGGCCCTGTTTGGTCATTATGTACACTGAAATTTTTCTACACTTTCAATTATGCCTTGTGGGACTTGTTGATCCTTTCTGTATTCAAATCAGGCTTAATACCAGGTTACTCATACCCAGTAATGCCATTTAAAACAGATCCTAGTAATATGAATGCTCCAGTTCTTCTTTTTTTTTTTTTTCCTTATATTTTCTTACATTTTCAAAAGTTTGTTTCTTAAATCACCAAAGATGACATTGACTGACTAAAATGTGTGAAATTTGCATTGCACTTTGATTGTGGTCGTACACACGTGGCAAATCAGAACTAACATTTCACTCTGTGTAGAATTCACCAAGGTCTGTTTTCTTCTCATAACTTTTCAATTATTTTCCTGGCTGAAATCCAAAATCTTCATTTGATTCTGGGAGATGATGTGAAAAGGCTGTACCTACACACTGAAGCTGTAAATCTGCTCTGTCCAGTAAATCAGGGTTCACAGAGGAAGAAAACCTACCAAGGATATCAGGGAAGTGTAGCAAGGCATTGAACTTGTGCACCCTAATTTAGGCATTAGGCCTCTTAGTGAAATAACTAAGACCTCCCTGTGCATGTAAGTGGCTAAATGTGAATGTTACAACCAAAACGGAGGCCAAGAAAACTTGTTTTGCTGACTGAGTACGTCCAAGGGAACCTGTGCTAGCTGTACTGTTTACTGGAACTGTTCTGCCCTGCACAAAGCTCATCCAATTGCTTCCAGCAATTATAATAATAGAATAATAAACCACATTGGTGTCTCTGACCTAGCTGTGGTGGTATTTCATCACCTCATTTCTGTGACAGTTCTGTGATTTCAGCCAGATCCTTACAGGATTGTCTATGGGTTTTTATGTCAGTCGTTTTCACATTGTTCTCACCATTAAACAGATGTGTGTTCCCAGCTGAAAAGAAATCCAAAGGGACCACCCAGAAACCTGAAAACAGCAGAATTCCTTTGATCACAACAGAACCTAAACGAGGCCCAAATTTTGTGGGGAATGAAAAAGCACAATTAGTATTAGATACTGGATTGAAATGGAATGAAGTGATAACAGACCTTATAACATATTGTCCATGCATTAAGCAGCATCACTAGAGTAATAAGACTACAATTGATGTTCTGTGTATGTATGTTAATACTAACATTTGTCTGTTGCTTTTTTTCCACAAAACCTTGAAATTCCCCTCCCTGCACCTCCGTAGTATGTAGATGGAAAACCAGCACAGCCTGTTGTAGAGCAAGAGGTATATTAACTGCAAACCTTCCTGTCAGTTCTCTGCTGGGATGTGCTGGGATGGTATGGCTGGGCTTTCATTTTGGATTCATTTTCTTTTTGAAATGTTTTGACAGACTCTGAGAACAGGGGTAAGGATTGCAGAGGGACATCTGGGTTTTCTTTTAAATAAAAAGTTGTTGCATGGTGGTAGAAGCTGAAGTCAGACAGTTTCAGAAAATGCAGTGCTGATGTAAGAAGTTGTTTCTCTACTCATGGTACAAGTCAGTGACAAAAGTACTTCTGCAGCTGCCCAAGAGGAGCAGGAGCTGAGGAACTAAGCAATCTGACCTGTGTTTGGAGCACCCAAAAATCCCCCAAGGCCTTGAAATAAGAATAGATAAAGCAGTGGTTATCTTGTTAAATATTGAATCTATCATCCTGTCACAGTGTTTGAACACAATTTGGTGTGAATGGGGTTACCAAACAGGAGCATACTGTGTGTTTCTATTTGCTAAACATGGTTTGCATCTTTTCAGTAAAAGGGTTTCCTAGGTAACCTCCATTACTGAAACATTCACCAGGAGCAGCTTATTCCAAAATATACACCACTCCCACTGATGTCAGTTGGAGTTGCATGTTCATTGCTTCTCTGGAAAAGCCTCTCTGTTCCTGTAGTTTTGACAATTTGGGGATATAAATTTTTTTGCCCAGAGTGATGGCTCATCCATCTTTACATTTGGAGTGGTGGGAAATATTTGAGGAGATTTGGGGTATGCAAATAATTTTGTTTTAAATCCCAGCAAGATAACAATAGTGAAGCAGAAACATAGACAGTCTGGTGCAAAATAAGGGGAGAAAATTGTCAGTGCAGAAAATGGTTTGAGAAGTAATTAAACACATTCTTGGTGCTATCAAAGTTGACTTTGAAGGACCAAATTATTCTATAGTGCCAAGGTCCTGGAGGAAAGGGAGACAGCTAGAAAAATTCTTATGACAAAAATAGGTAATATTCAACATGTATTTTAATGTAATATAGATTGTGGCTCAAGAGAGAAGGGCAGATGAGGGAAGAGAAGGTTGTGTCTTAGCTAAAAAACTGTCAGCTGACTGTTGGGTTTAAATTATCTGTAAGCACAAGGTGATGTCATTTTGAACCATGAACTTCAAATGTTTTTTTTTCTCAGCTTTAAAAATATTGTGTACTGAATGGAAAATACAATGAGTGATTTGATTTTTTTCTTTATTTTATTTTGTCCTCTTTAAAAAAAAAAACAGAGCAAGCCAGTTGTGAAAGGCAGCAAGTACCAAACCTTGCCAGGAAAGCTGCCCCGACCCTTACAGAATGGAGAGCAGGGAACATATAACTCAGCAGATGGATGTGGCATGAGTGACAGTGAGGACAACGGCGTCCCAGGCCTAAGTATGTACCCACAGGTGTCCCAGGGGGGTGTGAGCAGGGGGAAGAGCAAACTGTTTGAGGGACTGGGACATAGCATGGGATATGGTAATGGTAATCCCAGGCCACACCTACAGGTTTACAGAATGGAGAGCAGGGAACATATAACTCAGCAGATGGATGTGGCATGAGTGACAGTGAGGACAACGGCGTCCCAGGCCTAAGTATGTACCCACAGGTGTCCCAGGGGGGTGTGAGCAGGGGGAAGAGCAAACTGTTTGAGGGACTGGGACATAGCATGGGATATGGTAATGGTAATCCCAGGCCACACCTACAGGTTGGGGGGAGGATGAGAAGAGAAGCTCAGCATGAGCTGCAGTGTGAGCTCAGCCCAGAGAGCCAAATCCTGGGCTGCATCCACAGGAGTGTGGGCAGCAGGGCAAAGAGGTGATTCTTCCCCTCTACTCTACTCCTGTGAGACCCACCTGGAATACTGCACACAGTTCTGGTGTCCTCAGTGTAAGGACATGGAACTGTTGGAGCAAGTCCAGAGGAGGCCACAAAGGTGATAAGAGACTGGAGTGTCTCCCCTGTGAGGACAGGCTGAGGGAGTTGGGGCTGTTCAGCCTGGAGAAGGTTCTTTACAATGACAACTTAAGCATGAATTTAGGGACAAAAATGTTACAGTGAGGCACAGAACCATTTATGTGCCAACAATCGAAGAGCTTGGGAGCTCAGGCACAAGAGCATCCCTTGTGATTCTGAAGTGTTTCTACACTTTAGAAATCACTTTGAGTTTTTTGTTTGTTTGGCATTGTTTTATTTGTTGGAGGTTTGTTTATTTTAAGGCCTCATGGTCCTAATAGCTGCTGGGGTACTTTAGTTTCAAGATTGCAATAGGTTGTGGTTGTTTAGGATTTTTTCAAGAGTTTTTCTGTGATTGAAACATTGTAGGCAACACCTGAGCCATACTGTTATACCTTTAACTGCAGGATTATCCAAGGGTGGCTGAGCTTGTAAAGGAAATTGATCTTTTTCTAGAAACAAGCAATGGCTTCTTAAATACACTGAGTTAAGAGAATTTTTTTAGGCAGGTTAGTTTGTTTCTTGCATGTGCAGTGACCTCATTCCACCTCCAGTTCTGTATCTCAGAGCAATTTGATGTAATCTTAGACATTGCTTCATTTCAGATACTCTGCAGGGTTCTGTATCTCAGAGCAATTTGATGTAATCTTAGACGCTTCATTTCAGATACTCTGCAGACTTTGTGGAGCTCTGTAGTATGTGCTTAATGTATTAAAACTGTCTAAGAATGTTAGAAAAACCCAAACCAGATGAATTATCATCCCTATCTATTCAAGATGACCCATGCAGAATTCTTGGGCCTTGTGTACACCAATGCATATTCACTTTCAGAGCAATTTGATGTAATCTTAGACGCTTCATTTCAGATACTCTGCAGACTTTGTGGAGCTCTGTAGTATGTGCTTAATGTATTAAAACTGTCTAAGAATGTTAGAAAAACCCAAACCAGATGAATTATCATCCCTATCTATTCAAGATGACCCATGCAGAATTCTTGGGCCTTGTGTACACCAATGCATATTCACTTCCATGTCAAGCATAACTGCTTCTTTTTCTTTTTGTTTCTGCTTTTAATGCTTAGCTTACTACTTTGCTCTTCTGTAACTTTATTTTGCTGGTGTTTTATATCTTCTTTGCTTCTTCATCTGGCTTTTCTGCTTCTTGGGATGACTGAAGATCGCGGCAGGAGTGTCAGTGCACCCGTGCTAGGTACTGTATCCAAACAAGATGCAACTTTAACATGGATTTTTCTGCTTACTCTTTTTCCTTTCCCCCTCCCTTTCTCTCTGAAATACTAATACCCATCCAGTGTGAATTCCTTCCGTGCAGTACTGAAATGAAGTAACAGCTTTTGCTGTACATTCGAATGAGATTTCTTTTTAAGAATCTTATTCCTGGTTTTGTTCTCTTTCCACTGAAGTCAGGAAAATTCCCACTGAATTTGATGGAAGAGGTATTAAGAATAGGCAAGGTGAAAGTCTGAAGACCTTGAATGAATTCAATAATGTAGTTAAATACAAATGACTGAAATGACAGTACTATTTTACCCAATGTTTTACTCCTTTCCTTTTTTTTTTTTGTATGAAATGTACAGCTACTGTTCTGTTCACCTTTGGAGCATGGATTTATTATTTTTTTTAGGCAAGAACAATTTTATACATATCTGTACTTTTTGATTATGTTCTGCATTTAACCTTCAGTCTCCCAGGTAACAACTTTATTCATAATTAGCATCTAATGTGACTATAATACTGTTCTTAATCCAGGAGAAACAGAGAACGTGGATGGTAGAGTAGTCTCAGATGACCTCTCAGCTCTTTCTTCTGGAACGGATTCTGGTCCACAATCTCCATGGTGTCCAGAAAGCAAAAAGAGTCCAAAAGGGATCAGGAAAATCTGGGGAAAGTAAGCTCATTTTATTTATTCCCTGTCAAAGCATTTCAGCTGCAAGTGAATCCAATTCCCACAAAGAGCTACAATTATCTACAGGAAGAATGAGTTAAATTCAGGAAAACAAGAGAAAGCAGCTCAAGGATTGCATGGATGTCTCTGTGTACACAGGGGTGTAGAGAAATGGATGGGAGTGTGTTCACAGCATCATGCTGGTGAAAGAAATAACATACTGGTCATCTTAATGCTGTAAATTTAGCATGGCATGAAAAATTAAGGAAATTGTTCATTACAGAAGGCATTGGGTAAAAACTGAGAGAAAACAGGAGGAGGAAAAAACAGCAGGGGAACTGAGTTGTACTGTGCTCACTTGACCTGCTTCAGGACAGCAGCACTTACAAGTCTGGATAATTAATTGGAGCTCTGTGGTGCTGTTTTTTCCCCCCAGAATTAGGTCTAGATTGCATTTACTGGAACTTCTTCAGCTACCGCTTGAATTTGGTGTTTGTGCTTTACAGGAAGATTAACACAGCTTCTAGTTGTCACTGTTCCACAGGGAACAGATGTCCTCTGTCACAAGCTAATAGTATTGTCGTGGCACTCTTGTCTTGAAAGAATAAGAAGAACTCAGTCAGGTAACTTCCCTGCAGACGACCTGGGCTTGGCAGAGTTTCGGAGAGGTGGTCTCCGTGCCACAGCTGGACCTCGGTTATCCCGCTCCAAGGACACCAAGGGCCAGAAGAGGTAACAGCTCCTCCTTTCCCTTCTATGGCTTACCATGGGTGGTGGTGTCAAATGTGCTGAGCAGCCAAATCAACAGGACAGCAGTACCACAGCACCTGCTGCAAAGTGGCTGTTGGCTCTTCCCTCTGCACAGAACACAGCACACTGGCACATTGGCTGCAGTATTGCCTCTAGCACGTGATGAGCTTTGCAATATGACCAGTCATTCTTTCCTTTATGATTTTTCCAACATTTCCTCTACTTTTCAGTGACTACAATGCCCCGTTTGCTCAGTGGAGCACTGAAAGGGTTTGTAACTGGCTTGAGGACTTCGGGCTGGGTCAGTACGTCATTTTTGCACGGCAGTGGGTGACGTCAGGACATACACTGTTAACTGCAACACCTCAGGACATGGAAAAGGTAATCACCTGTCACCTGTTGATTCTCTACAACCAGACCCCCCTTCAAACCACTGGTGGTTCTACCGTTCTGAAATATGTAGCATCAATTTTTGTAGGCACCTAGTGAGGTGAAAAGAGCCAGAGGCAAGGCAAACCCTTTGTTAATGGTTATTGTTGCAGGAAATGGGGATAAAGCATCCACTGCACAGGAAGAAATTAGTTTTGGCCATTAAATCAATAAATGCAAAACAAGATGAGAAGTCTGCACAACTTGATCATATCTGGGTGACGCGTAAGTGTTTGAACTTTCATGGCATTGTCTGGAAAGGAATTTCCCCCTATGAATGGCCTTCCTGAGGCATGTGTAAGCTGTTACCAAACATCTTTCAAAAAGCACTAAGTTTCACCATAGTAGAACGAGGATTTTTGTGTTGTTCTTGACATCCAGGTGTACAGCTTATAGTATGATTTTCCATACTGTCAGATTGCAGGGAAGTAAAGGGAGGGGAAGGGGTTGGGTGCCAAATCTAGCAAGAGCTGCATTCTGGTGCAGAAGTCATGAGTTCCATCACACACTGCAAGAGCTGCATTCTGGTGCAGAAGTCATAAGTTCCATCACACACTATGTCAAATATCAACAGGGGTAGTGTGGGCAAAGCTCTGGTGGGAATTGCTTCTAGGCTTCTGGTAAGAGGCTGTCCTTGGGAAAGGAGAATAGGTTGGATAAGCTACCTGAATGCTAGACAAGAGGGGAGAAAGGCTTCATTCTCCCTGGTCTAGACTTGGTTCTCTCTTGTATCTGCAGGATGGCTTGATGACATTGGCTTACCCCAGTACAAAGACCAGTTTCATGAATCCAGAGTAGATGGAAGGATGTTGCAGTACTTAACTGTGGTAAGCTACAACCCTTTTTCCTCAGTTTAACCAAATATATTTTACAATTAAAATATTGTACAAAATATTGAGCAAAATATTTTACAATTTTCCCTTGAATGTGAGCTGTTAAAGAATTTTTACAAGACAGAAACAGTGCCAATAGTAACTCATTTGTGCTGCGTAGTGCATGATTACTCCTCCTAAGGTACATAAAATAGTTCATACATTACAGCTAACTTCTGCAGAGTCCTTCTCTCACTATCTCATAGCACACCACAATTTAAGATAAAATGACCTGTTTTACATGTAAGTTCTGGAGCACATTGTCCTCCACACTGAGTTAGCAACAACATTCAGTGAACTAAAAGCAGCAATGTTTTAAAAAAACCCAACAAACCAACAACAGAAACCTCCAAACCTCCATCCTTAAAAACCCTCTTTAAACTTTCATTTTACTTAAACCACAGTTACTATCATTTATATAAAACTTCCACGCAAGCTTCAAAATCTTTCTTCTTGGTGAATGTCCCTGTTTTATTGCATGTTCTGTGCCACCTAAAAGTTTTTTTCCTTCACAGAATGACCTTCTCTTTCTGAAAGTCACCAGTCAGTTGCATCATCTGAGTATCAAATGTGCCATTCATGTGCTGCATGTCAATGGATTTAATCCTCACTGTCTACGCAGGAGACCAATAGAGGAGGTAAAAGAATGTTGAAATAAATTAAGCACTAATTACCTGGTTCCAGCAAAAGGGGATAGAAAGTTTGCAGTGTACAATGATACAACAGAATCTTTGCTACTAGGGAATTGCACCTAAAGCTGTAGTTATGCTGCTTTCCAGCTCTACCATGTAACATGTACCCACTGATAATAGATACCTACTCTGTCCTTCACTTTGAGGCAGTTCTTAGTTGAATCTCATGCACTTCCCTTTAGAAATTATATGCATAGGTAAAAAAAGTTGATTCAGCTACCAAAAGAATAATCTGAAATGCTTTTCTTTGCCTGTCCTAATTTTTGACTGAAAATCTATAAGGTTTTTTTTTTAACCTGGTCTTAGTATTAAACACTCTCAATAACTCTGTTCTCAAAGTGCTGCCTTTTTATACCTAGCACCTGTAGTCTCTACTGTTTCACCACTTGATGCCATACATGGGTTTCATCTGTGCTAGACTAGTGTTGCCACCTTGTCAGAGGCTGTTTGGAAGAGGCCTTGAACAGAAACAATACCTTAGAGTCAGGGAAGAGCTACTGCTCTTTGAGGAAGGGGAGGAACTGAGGATATATATTGATTGTTTAGACAATGCAGACTGTAGTGTCATCCCCTTTTCTGGTTACTTCAACAGAATAACGTGTCACCTTCTGAAGTGGTTCAGTGGTCCAACCACAGAGTGATGGAATGGCTCAGATCAGTCGACCTGGCAGAGTATGCACCAAACCTTCGAGGCAGTGGAGTGCACGGGGGCCTGATCGTGAGTCTCTAACATTTTACTAAGTATCTACTAAAAATGGGTAGACTGTAATATAAACCACCTCTTACCTGGTGTTTGTCAAGCAGGAGGGAATAAATCCATCTGCAATATGACAGTATGATCAGGCCTTCTAAGCAGCCTCTTTATCTGATCCATGCATCTTAATTTTACAAA